GAACCTATTGCAATTAAATCCAGGAAGAGGTGGGGGAGCCCAGATGGAAGAAGTTAGAGTCCTTCTGACACAAGTTTCTCTCAGTGACTTGTGAAGCAAACTCAAATGCTGAAGGGACCCAAGAGCCAAGGTCTTCTCCTGGCAAGTTGGCCAGGTTTGTGTGCATCTTTTTCAGGAGGAAGAAATCAAAGACAGCTTGACGATGCTTCCTTTGAAAGACTGCATTTCCTCTCCTCCCTACAGCCTCAACACATTTCTGCTAGAGGGATAAGAGTGGCTGGAAATATCCCAGTGAGGCATTTAGCCAGAAGACAGACACATAGAGAGACAGAGAGATTTCTCAAACAATACCTTTATGAGGCTAAAATGTTTTGTTTGAAACAGCTCTATGCAAATGACCTTTGGAGAAGCCTGAGGCTTGACGCCCATAACAGCTGCCCTGACAGACAAGACACCAGACTTCCCTGACAGCTGTAGGGCCTGGGGAGCTTCTGGATTCCTGGAAACACTGACAAGTTGTCAATTCTATCCAGTTTTTACCACAGCCAAATTTCGAAATTCCTGAAAACTGGGAGCCCTTGCTTTTAGCTACTTTAGGTCTGAATTTCTAGAGGCAAAACAAGGGTTGCAACATCACCATTTCCTGTTGAGTTCAAATATTGAAACAGTACAAGTTAGTCCTTCTCAGAATTGTGAGATTACCTTCAAATCATGACACTTAAATGAACAGATGTTCTCTTGCCTTCTGATTTGCAGACATCTAATGTGTCAGTGATAATTTGTAGTAACTGCATAAAAACTTTAAACTTTCTCTTACAAAAGCAAAGCAAAACTGAAATTCCTGTGCAGTAATCTTCTGAGTGTTGCAAAGGTTATGGATAAAAGTAGCTGCATCACCATGCTACTTGCTTCTAGATCTGACCTTTTAGAGCTACAGTCCCAGTGCCAGTAGCATAAAGAACAAGCCCTTAAGATGCAGCACTGTGGAGCAGCTGGTGAGAAGGAACACAGCTGCAAAGAACACAACTGCAGAGCACACTCCAAAGGAAGTGGAGCTCAACAAGGGACCTCAGGAGAGGTAGGGAGAAGCCAGGGAATTACAGACTTGGTTCCTCCTCAGAAAAAAAGTGATGAAAAAAAGAAAGGACTAAGGAATTGTAGTATAACTGTAGACAGACCTGGACTTTTCAGTTTTTACCTTTCCAACTGAGACAAAACTCCCTCACAGGAAGTCAGATTCTCCAACCTGTCTGCAAATACCATATGCAATAACCAGCAACTTTTGTATGTTTCTGCACAGTTCCACAGAAATTAATAGTTTCAGAAAACTGTTATTTCCTCTTCAAATTTCTATGCCCATAACTATAGGGACTGCCAGTCACTTCACACAGCCCTAATGTGAAGACTTCCCAAGTACTGTGCTATAGGGAGTTCTCTGAGCTCCAGGGATTTCCCATCAATCCAGACTCGCTTTAGAACACTGCTGTAGGACACATGACAAAGCTGCTTCTGTGGTGCCACAAGGCTGTGTGGGTCCACCTCCAGCTCTGGCAGGTCCAGGCAGCACGTTTATTTCTGGGCTAATTTGTTCAATTTGTGCAAGTTGGTCTATCAGTCTTCTTAGGTGAGAAGATCCAGTGAAAAGCTGCTGCAGCAACAGCATTATAAAGGAGCACAGTTGTAACTACAAAGCTCCATCCTCAGGTTGTGTGCTCCTTGCAGACTTGGCTTAATTACAGCAATGTGACAGGCTTCATCCCCTGCAGTTAAATCTGTGGTCTCTGGACTTGAAAGACCATTCAGGATGTCATGTACCACAAACACACTTAGATGCATCTTCATTTTAATTAAGAGTACCTCCCTCTAGCCTCTGCCTGCCTGGCTCTAGTTACAGTAAATTCTGTATTGACTGTATGTATTACCACAAACTGCCTTCTGCACAGCAGCAGTCTCCTCCCCCTGAAGAGGGTCATCTCGATTATTTAGAAAGTGGAAAACCAAACAGATCCCCTCCTGAACAGTCAGAACACCCAGCCAGGTTCCTAATCTGATTCTTGGAAATTCAATTCAGAAGCCCAAGTCAGCAGAGTAAGACAGACAGACACTCCCACCTAGTGGGGAAGGCACAGCTCTGGGTCTCTGGGATTGGAGTTGCTTCAGCTCTAGATGTTCACACACTCCTCCCACAGGAACCTTTGCTTTTTGAATCAACAACAGTAACAGCTATGACGAAACCTGAGAGAATTACTTTTAATTATTAAGCAGAAGAAAAGCAGATTAAGCCTACCAAGTTACCAATGCTTTTATCTCTTCAGTATTAGACATGACTGCAAACACAACTCTTTCATTTTATAGTAGTGTAATAATTAACTTCTGCAAGGTCAATGCAACAGGTATGTAAAATATTAGCTGAATGGCACAGTGGCATTTTAAACCAACTTTACTACCTAGAGAGAACTAAATTCTTGAATGCAAAATACGGACAAGTCTTCAGTATATAAAGAGCCTTTGATATCTAGGAGAGCATACCAGCTCACAAGCTGTGTCACTGTTAGTATTTTCTGGTTTAGGGGTTTACTACTTTGGGGGGATTTTTAATACATGCTGTAGATAAAGGTAAAATAAAAAAAATTGTAAGGTGGCAATTAGAAGCTAGAGGGGAAAAGCCTCTTTGATCTATTTCCATTTCTGTATGCTCAGTAGACACCCACAGACCTGTCCTGTTTTCCAGGAGGATGAAGGTGCCATCCTGAGGGCTCACTGGGACTGGCCATGGCATTACCCCATGGCCTGCCACAAGGGGTGGCAGAAAGGCTGTTTGAAATTCACTTTGGCTGGCCTGAATTACTTTCATCTGTTCTGGTACAGAATCAGATGCACACACTTTGTGATTCATATTGGCCTTCAAATGCCTTTTTATAGTCAGAAAAAGTCACAAACATGTACTTGCATTTCCCAGCTGGGTATTGACCTTTTGGACCCAGCTGCATGTTCCTGAAAAACATTCAGCCACCAAAATCTGCAATGTGCAAACCAAAGTCTCTGTGTGCACCTGCAAGTATTTATTATGAGTTCACCCTGATGCACACTGTTCTTTCAGCCCATGACACACTATAATTTCCCAGGTTTTGGGTCAGGTACTGCACTTTTGCCCTCTTGAAAATTATTCCAAGTTTTTATTTTAACGTACTGTGGCCTACACACAAATTAACTGTGTCTACAAACACAGCAGCGACCTGCCTAAGCTCTGGGGTCTGTCAGGATGCAATTTTGCACCAAACTCTTCTGTTTGGTCCAGGTCAAAGACTAATCCAGCACTGAAATTTGCAAACTCATTGCTCCTTTCATGTACATCAAGTCTGCAAATAATTCCATGCTCATTGATGATACTGTGCACAGTTCAGGTTGGAGATGACTTAACACACAGAGCTATTTTTACCACTGGGGTTAGGAAGGTCTAGATAGAACAAACTGGTAATTTCATGTTTGACTAATGGGTCTCAGACTTGTCCACACAAGGCATTTGAGATCAGCTGTGAGGCTTTCCCTTCCTGTATCTCAGTTCATGTAGGGAGAGACAGACCTGCCCGCCTCCACAGCAACCACAGTAACACTAAGTGCTAGTTCTCAGCAGCAATTCTGAGCTTACTGCCTGACACAGATTAGTAAGAGGTTTATGCACTTTCACTGCCCAGTCAACAGCTTTGCTAGCACACTTGCTGAATTACAGGCCCATACTCCACCTCATAGTGCTGCAAGAACCACTTTTTCCAGATTTCACAGCAGTATGGAATTAAGACAGTTTAAGCAAGTTGTTACTTCAAATGAACCACATAAGAAATCTCTGTCCTTTCTGGTGGACCACTTGTCCACCAAAACACACATTAAATGCTTTCCACTGCTTCACTGTCCCTACTATTTGCCTTCAACAGTTACGAAGTTCCCATCTTCCTATTCCACAGACATTGGTCTGTATAGAGCTGAGGACTGGGCACGTTCAGGCCTAGACAGGACACAAGGTAGCAGGACCGACTCACCAGCTGACTGGAAGCAGATGAGTGGAGCTTCTTCTTAACCTGGTGCACAGCAGAAACTGAGCCTTACAGCATGTGCTGGGTCTCACACTACTGCCTTTAGAGGTGCAGCAAATGTTGGCTGTGCTTGAGGAGCACTCAGTGGTTTGAAGCCTCACCACCAGAGCTAACTCAAGCTTCCTCCCTAGCTTAAGCACTCCTTTCCAGAGCACCGGTCTACAGGCACATTTACCTCCTGTTCCTTTGGAGTGTGCAGAACCAGGATGTGTGGCACACCTGTCACAGCACTCGCCACCAAAGCCCTGCCTCAACATTCGCTCATGCTGAGGAGCATCCCACCACTTTGTTTTTCATCTCTGCTATGTGGTACTTCACTGTATGTAGTAAGGAACAGAAAAATCTCCAGTTCCCTTCACTTTCAAGTAGACACCATGGTAAGCACAACATACCAACTATTTCAAGACCACAGGCATGCTCTGTTACAACAAAAAGGTTACTTCATGCCTGCCTTCAAGCATAAAGTTTAATTTGTTACTACTGCTTCAGCAACACAGCTGTGCAGAGACAATCTGTACTAGATATATGCATGCAATCAGCCCCTTTAGCTACAGGATGGTCTGAGACATACCTGAACAGTTAGTATGAAATGAGTGCCACATGCTGTCATTCAGGCCCTATGCCTGACACAGTACTGTAATCTCTGCCCAAGGTAATGCTTCCAGGGCTCGTGCATCAGTGTGACATAAAGACCTCACATAAGAAATGCAGGAAGGAGTAGGGATGACTGAAGACAGTCAATTCAGGCAGGCACAGCAACACCTATCTCCATTTATCTTTTCAACCTTTATAGAAAGCTCTGCAGCCTGTAATACAACAAATTACAAAAGGCATTTTTCTCTTCCAACTGTTTTAAAATCAAGTAACTAGACCAGATATTACTAAAAATGAGTCTCTTGTAGACAGTTATAGAAGATTCTTCTTTTGAGTTTTATTTGTTTATAGTAACAGTAGCACATATTTCCACTTAGGTATTTCAGTGCAACAAGGAAATCCATTAGGCTTCAGCAAGGTGACCTATGTTTCTATATGCAATGGAACAGATTAAAGTGCCTCCCTTTGTTGCACAACAGTTTAAAGCTTCAGAACTCTAAGTAAATACCTTTCACAGAATTAAACAAGCAGACACTTTGCTTGATTATGAAATGCTTTTGTTGGATGAGTGAAGTGCTTTCTGCAGTAGAACAATTCATTTGTAAGCCACAGGCACTACTACAAGAGTGGTATCAGAGTAGAACTGGTGACATTTTAGTAGTCTGTGCAAGAATTCCACTCTACTTTTTGCAAGTTGCATATCTTGAAGATACATTCTCCCAGTTGATCACATTCCAGATGGCTTTCAAATAATCAGGTCGAACATTTTTATATTGAAGATAATAAGCATGTTCCCATACGTCAATGCCTAGCAAAGGAATGAGACCTGTGAAAAGAAGAGGGTAAATATATGAAAACACACTTTACATGTAAAGTTTTATATTGTATCTTCAAGTTGTACCCAGTTTCTGAGTCTTAAGCTGCAGGAAGACAAAGAGCTCTGCAGAACACTAGTCTTTATTGCAGTATTTTACAAAACTGTGCTCACACACACACACTGCATAAACTCAAAGAGCTGATTTGGGTAAACACACATATAAATATTTTGGAACTGCCTTGAAGACATAACTGAAACCAGATGAAGTAATTTTTGAAAGGGTTCTATCTTGTGCACACTTATGCAAGCACTTTCATAAAAAATTAGGTTATGAAGGTTTCTTGTGATGCCAGCTTGCTTCCAATACTTTAATTACAGGCTATTTGTTAAGTGCCTAATTACCTCCTTGCTTTTGTGCTAAAATACCCTTGTCACTGAATTTTTTATGGTAAATTTTCACAGGAGGGAGGGTGAAATTCGCCCCCATTATAATCTATGTCCCTATACTTAATCTATAATTTCTTTTCACCCTACTGATAGGCAATAGATGAAATTCCTTGCCGTTCTCTATGAATTCTGCAGAAGGTATCTGCAAAATTATTTGGACAAACTGTCACTGCAAGCAGATTCTCACTGATCATGACCTGTTCCCTCTGTGAAGGGTGTCCAGCCTGCCATTACCACTTCCATGTCTCTCTAAGGAAGTAAGAATATATTGGAAAGAGATCATTGCCAGTCCTATGCTGCTTTTCCAGCTGTAACACTTAACCACATCACAGACTAATTTGGTTGACACTCATTACTCTTATAACTATAAAGGAAGCAAATTATAAGGCTCCATTTGAAACCCAGTCTAGATGGAACAAGAGTTATGATGTTCATCTTCCCCCTCTCCTGTTGTCGGGCCCCCACTGACAGTGCTGTGAATAGCTCCTCTGCCAGAGAAAAAAACTGAAGGCAAAAAGCTTAATGTTGCTTGGCACGTGCAAGTTACTCCAGTTACTCAAAAATCCAAGGAAGCTGAAAGTAAAATATTCACCAAGTAAAAACACTTTCACAACATGGCCCATCTGTTTTTCCTTGGACTAGAAGGACACTTAATCATTCTGCTGTTCAAAGTTTTTAAGTTCTGCTTTACAAATGCTGCTCTAAAAAATGAGTTTTCACTTCTGCTAGAAGAGACATTTGGTTTTTCACATCTATTTATCAGCAATTTCTTCTCAACATTTTCCCAAATCACTTTTCAGATGTCATACACTTGCCTACCAAATCTACAGAAGCAGAGGGGAAGGAAAGAAACCTGACCTGTTGTGCCTTGCAAAGGGTCTTGATTTGCACAAGCTGCTATCTGTAGGCGCCCCTGCTCCTTGTTATAGCCAAGCCACCCCCAGCCTGATCCTTGGACACCAACTGATACAGCTGTCAGCTTCTCCTTGAAGTTTGCAAAAGAACCAAAGTCACGCTTGATGGCTTCCATCAATTCTCCTTTAACAGAAAAAAAGCACAGAAAGATCACAAGCATATCAACCTCAATCCAAACCTCCCAGGTTTATCACAGCAGCTTTTGTGAGATCTGTACTAAAGGGCCTTTATCTTTAATTGCAGGTCACTTTAGGGAATCAGTACTCTATCCTCCCCAGGGGGATTCCTTCCATTAGGCTTTAACTGCTGAACTATCCCTACCCAAAATGGAGAATAACTCCAGCCACTAGGCTGGGTGGGCCTGCAGCACATTTCTTTCCTGTCTGTGAACTGAGTACATAGAGCAATTTAATTAGCATGGCTTACTACAACTATTTTCTCTTATGAAGGTGGAAAGGGTATATGCAGCAGAGACCAGGTATTTTGCAGTGTATTCATAATCAGCTCTAGAAATTAAAAAAGACTTTGAACATTACTCGTTTTTTTATATTTTTGGCTTACATCCAAAACCTCCCCCAAATACCTCAGAATTTTGGTAATTGTCACATAGAAAGGTGAATTAACTCTGAAAAATAAAGATTCTTTAGACTCCTTCAAAGAGACCAAAGATCATCAGTTCCACCTGTTAATTAAAACTGATGCAATAAACCACTATAACATGCACTAACCTTTAGGTTCTCCTCCTCCATTAGGAGAAAGGTTTGTCCAGAAGATGCTGTGATTGATGTGACCCCCACCATTGAACTTCAGGGCAGGCTGAAGTGACACCTGAGTTGTAACATCACCTAAGGATACAGAAAATAAAAATATATAAATAAAAACAGTTTTATCACCACAACAGGCAGTTAAGTTTCTACTAGGCCTCAATGATAGCCACAATCTTTCTACAAGCATGTAACTTATCAATGGAAAACATGAAGTTTGTACTGTTATGCATATTTTAGACAGTCACAGACAAACACTGTAGGAGACTTATTATCTTTGACCTTTTTTATGCTGTAATAAGTGATCTGCAATATTGCAACTATCAGGCAGCCCACACTACATACCTAAGACTTACTGCCACTCTACAGCAGAATAAAGCAACGAGCACAGCCAGAACTCTTTGAGGACCCAGCACTTGTAAATTCGTCAGTATCATCACTACAATGCAAAAATATTACTCACCCATTAGCTCACTGATTTGCAAACTAAGCATTTTTAAACTTCTTAAAACAATTTACAGGGCAAACAGCCTGTGCTTGAGAAAAGTCAGTAAGTACAGTGAGCACATACACAAAATGTTCTTCTCCTTCCTATCTTTTGTTTCATTTGGAGGGAGGTACTCACAGAAAAGTGATCGAAATAATTTTGCTACACATGACAGAATCCTGCATCTGAAACCACGATCAAACAGCTCTGCACTTCCAGAGAAGAATTCTTGAAGAAATCACTGGTGCCTTGTGTCTCTGAACAGTCTTGTACCACTTCAATACAAGTCTTTTCATTACTATTTTGGCTTTAAAAAACACTGAAGCATTTCAAAGGTTCTAAAGCTTTTTCCACCACTCCAATGCATTCTTTAGTTAGGAATCAGTAGGGGACCTGTTTTCTCCACTCTCAGGACTGAGTTGTAGAAATTTTCTGAGTCACCTCAACAACACAGACATGAAGACAATCCTCAAAGAAGTAGTGCACCTCAAAGCAATCTGTTACCAAGGTGGTGCCTCAGGTTTTAACTTTTGTATTTTTGAGATCTTGTGCTGCTTTAGTGTGTGGATCTGGGCTTCACATTAGGGGACAGTAAGCTCTCTTCACAGAGTAGGTAGACAAAGCAATTCCTTCTCTAGCTGGGACCCAAGGACAACTGAACCAGATCTGAGGCCCAAAAAGATAAACAATGGTGGACCAAAGAGAGAAAAACAAGCAGGATGGGAATTCACGGGCTAATGCTGTAATTGGACAATCAACTCCAATGTGCTACTGGACCAAAACTTATAGAAGTGTGACACCCTGTGACTGGTTGTCCATTTTTTTGGTGACCATTTTGGGTTCTCCTGGGTTGTAGGCCTGGCTGGGCGCCTGTGCTGCTCAAGGTGGATCTGTTGAGGCTTTCTAACAAATTCCTACTTTATTGTTTAGCACTGTCTAGTTTCTGTTCTAGGACAGCCTTCACAAGGCATCAAAGGTTTTAAGTCAGGGCTTCACGTTCTCAGCATTTCCTCACAGCTTCAGAGAGGGGTGCAGCACTGAAACAAAGCAGCCAATGCTGTGTTTGTAAAACCATTATTTGCTGGATTTGGGTACCAGGTTAAGGATAAGAAGTCTCTCATGGCCATTCAGATGGCATGTTAGGGACATTTTCCCTGAATTTCTCATGCCTTAATGACACTTTCAAGTTCATCCAGGGCATACAACATATAGCAAGCCAGAAATCAAAAAGTAACTTAGAAAGCCTTTAATGCATCCATAACTCCTTATTCCACCATTCCTTAGAAGAACCCAAGTTCTCCTCAGGACCCCTAGAAATCAGAGACAGCATTTCACCATTGTCCTTAAACAGCATTTGTGCTGCTGAACTTTGCACTGAGGAAAAAAAAAACAACTGAAAAGGGGTAACTTGCCCTTAAGTTACAGCAGAAGTATATTGGAATTTATTTGTACAGAATCCATGGACAATTCAGTAAACCAAGACAAGAAGCCCAAAGGTGCTAAAGAGAGTAGGCAGCTCAGGTTCTCAGCTTAAGTAATTTGTTTCCTTGCCACAGTCCATCACAGGTTGCATGGTGGTCAAAGAAGAGCGGGAAAACTATGGTATGAACAAGTTTTCAATGAAAATGAGATTCAAGTTAATATTCTTCAATTAGCAAATCTGACACATTTTGATGGGCCAGTAGTCAGGACCAGTTTATGTTGAAACCATGTTCTGCGCTGTCACAGAAATGTAAATTCATTTTCAAATGAACTGACAATGTCAGCCAACAGGATGGCTTTGAGTTTTCTATGCAAATATAGATAAATGAAAACATGTTAAAGATAATCTGAAGAAAATAACTTGCTTTCTATTGCTGAACAAGAGACATTGACAAGGTTCTGCTGTCCAGAAAATTTATTAGATAGTGATCAGATGTGCTATGTAACCCAACACTGATACACAGCCCAGCAAGATTTTTGGTAGTGCTCAGTTTTAGTATGAAAAAATAACAATATTGACAAAATGAGGTGGCAGTTCAGACTTTGCCCTGGTCTTAGAATTTCTTCTAATGAGGGTCAAAATACTGCACATGGTATACTGAGATACCAATCAGGAAAAAACAAACTAACAAACCACCCAATCACCCATATCCCAAGTAATTATTTGTCTGCTTTGGTGTGCATGACCACAACCAGTAAGTCACCCATTTGGAAAATAATCTCTGCAGAATCCTTAAGGAAAAATTAATCTCTAAGTAATAAACATTTCAACACAAGTGATGAGATGCTATCAAAAGCTGTAATTCCTAAAAAATAACTCAAAGGATCCACAACACTGCAGATGCATCTGATAACCAGAAATTCTGCCTCCACTAGTGGCTGAAGCTTTTGTAATTAACAGCATCAGTAACAGCAGCAGCACACACAGTGTCTTCTGACACTTCAGGTTCCCTCCCCAGTGGTGTTTGCACTAATTACATCTCCAGAATCCACCTTTCCTGGATCTGCTACTGGCAGGGCAAGGCAGCAGTCAGCCTTGATAACCTGCTTCTTAAAAGAATCTCATTAGTTCATTAATTCACACTGCACAAGTTATTTTTAGGCTCACTTAGGTACTTGAAAAGCCCTATTTTCTATTCAAATACACTGGCAATTAACTATCAAGGGACACATGGTTCAGGTTTACTCAGATATTAGCAATTCTAACTTTCAGCCAAGTCCACACATTAAATTCCACTGTGAAGCCACCTGGCAAGCAGACAGAAGTGAGTCTGTATGATAATCATTTCTCTGAGATAAACTGATACCTTTTAAGAAGATCATCACAACAGAAAAAAAAAAACAGAAAATATTCCACCTTCTTAAAAAGACATACATGTTATTTCACACACTTTTATCAGTCCAACTGAAAGACTCAAAGTTTGGAAAAAACACATCTCATGTTTCAGCATAGCTCTGCTACCCTGCAAAGTTTTTGCAAAAAGCAGTATATCTCAAATTCTGGGATCGTAACAAAAATTTCCATGATGGTTTCCTGCATATTTTCCTGTCTCACATGGGCTTGTCACCTACCCAACCCTTTAATTTGACCCAGTGATATAACGGACACCCAAATTCAGGTCTCTGCACTGTGTGTTGTATACATTAACAACATGTCTGTCTTACCTCAATTGCAGGCAACTGAGATTATTTACAGAGACTGAGCAGAGCATCTGATGTGAAAACTATCAAGGCATGTATTTTTCACTTTATCTAACTTTTTCACTTTATCTAACTTTTTATTGCATAGTACTTGTTCAGGAAAATGACTGCAATTTCCTACTGACTCAGTCTTTGCTCAGGTTAAGTTACTAATGGAGTATGGACTAAACCCACAACAATCAACAAATCTTCTAGTTTTACAGCACTACAGAGAACAGAATTCATGCTTTTTACTTACATTCGATTTCCAATTATCAGCACCACCGAAGCTACAATAAAAGATTTTCCCCTTACCATACTGCAATGACATAATCCAAAGCTTTTCAAAGAATGTATCTTGCTTCTTTTTTTATTTTGTTCTTCTGTATCATCCGTGCCAATTAGCTTCCACCTCACCTGTTGACTGTGGAGATACAAACCTTTGGCCACTGCCTCTTTGTACTTCTCCTCGACCACGTTCAGGTTGTTCACGTAGGTGGCATGATGCTTGCTGTGGTGCAGCTGCATGATCTCTGCATTAATATGAGGTTCCAGAGCAGCATAGTCATATGGCAAGTCAGGAAGAGTGTGCTTTTGTCTAGAAACCAAGCACCCCAAGGGTGCTACCAACTTGGCACTGCTTCTAGAAAAGAAAAAAAAAAACAGAAAGAAGCAGTTTTATTCAGTAAAACTTGGGGTTCACCAGTGAAATAGACTGCATACACTGCTGTTCTGATCAGCTGCTTTAAATACCTGGGATAATATCTCAGCCAAGGAAATAATATTTCCACTTCTCAAGAGTTTAAAGCAGGCATACTTTGCAGCTTAACTGCAAAGATGAAGTCACACCAAGGTCACATATCCAGGGCTTTGCACTGTGAGGCTGCTGCTTCTCAATCCGAGCCTCCAGGCCCTGCAGAGACTCATGTATCCTCCCAAGCATGCATGTGAGGGAAAAGCAGGGACAGCACTGAAAAGCCAGTAGTAACCTGATGACATTCAAAGCTTCACCTAATCTTTATTCCTAAAAAATAGAAGCAAAGATGTCACCTAAGCGTCCTTCCCTCGCTATCCACAAGGTCTGTGCACTGGGAAGTGCTAAAAAACCTGCACAGTCACGGGTTTCCGGGAATGCTGAATCTCTCCAGCATTTACACAGACAGGCGTTTCCCTGTCCCCACAGGGCGTACCGGGAAGCCACAGGGGCGTCACAGCCGCGATGCCCGGCACAGACACCGCGCAGGCTGTGTTACCCTTCCCCATTTTAACACCTCGCACTTGTCATGCGACACAAGGGCCAGGACGAGAGGAGACTCGTCGGGCCGGCAGGACGGTCAGCTCTGAGGGCTGATGCCGCTGCACCGCTGATGACCTTGACATAGGCCAGGGACACACCGCGAGCAAAGCCCTCGGGACCCTGAAGAGCAGCCGAGAGCGGCGACCCCGGCCAGCAGAAACAGGAGTGTCTGCCAGCACCGTGTCAGGCCGCCAGAGCTCCTCGGAGGGCGGCGGGGGCAGAACCTGAGAGCGTTCAAGGACACCGGCAGCAGCCCGGGCCCGGGCCGGCGCCGACCCGGCAGGACAGCCGGCAGTAGCGCGACCTCCCTGTGCGCGAAATGGCGGGGGGCAGACACCGAGGGGCGACAACACGACCCTCCCGCCGCCTCCTCCCCCGCTCCCGCCGTCCCGTCCCCGGCTCGGCTGCAGAGGGCAAGGACGGTGCGGCCGCCGCCTCCCGGCGCGGGGCTCTGCCCGGCCCCGCGCTTTCCCCGGCGCGGCGCGGCTCTCACCTGCTCGCGGCGGCGAAACGGCACAACATGGCGGCGTCTGCGGCCGGGCGCGACTGTCAGGGCGCAGCCGCGGCCCGCCCCAGCCGCGGGGGCTGAGCTGGGCCGCGCCGCAGGTGACACACCCCGCGGCCACCCCCGGCCTTCCAAGGCGGGCGAATACCGGGCAAATACCATTGCTTAGCGATAGGAGTAGCTTGTCCTTATGAACATAGCCGCTCTAGAATCGTTATCGTAAAACTCAGGCCCGCTGTAGTTCCAGACGAGGCGAGGCTGCCTTAGCCCCTAGGAAACAGATAAAATGCCGCCGGTGCCCCGGCAAGATTCAGCAGCACGGCAGAGCGCGGCTTTGAAACCCTGCCGCGCAATGACATGGTTCTGGCAGCACAGCGATGGCACCGGCAGCACTAACACTATCGTTTCAGCTCTTTTGTCTACGACTCGCTTTTGTTGGTTCATTTCTGCTCTTTTACCCATTTTGCGGGTATCTTGTTTTCCCCAACACGTGCTTTCCTGCAATTCAGCGGCCTCTGGTGCTCATGAAAATCCTTTACCCAGTTTAATGCAAATGAGTCCAAAGACCCATTACAAACTGGCTCTCCAGCGAGGTCACGGAGGAGAAACTCATTCCTCAGAGCTAGGAGGCACTCTGCAGGCAAGACAAACATTAGGTAAAAATTTAATTCCACACAATTTATCTCTGCTACCACAAAACCTTTATCATCATATTTTGTCATTCTAAATAAATACACATAGCCTTAAGATCGTCTAGCACACACATTTACCAGACTGTAAAAATTCAAATTACAAAAATTCAGTGGGGGCTAACCCTAAACAATTTTGTTGAGAATAAATAACCTCATCTTGCCAGTTGTGAAGAAATCTACCTGGAAAGACCCACCAAGGGAATCCCAGCCCCTGGAAGACACAATGCTTCCATCCCTCACTTCTCGAGGCATCCCAGAAAAGGACAGTAATTGAGTTCCCCTGATGAAGAGGAACCAGCGGTGCTCTTGTGGGAATGTGAGCAGTGAAAATAGCTGCTTTAGCAGCAGCTAAGATAGAGGGCAAATTGTCCAAAATCAGTGAGTTGTTTCTTCATCCCTGACTACTAAAAATACATTCAGCGAGATATGTATCTAATTTTAAAGAGGAATATATTGTATTTATTGGATCAATGTCATTTTTTGTTAAAATGAACCAACTACATTCAGGATTATTAAGTGTCATAATACAGGCACCAACAGCCAGGCAAAACCATGAATATCACAGGCTTTTAGTAATTAGCATTTGCATATGCAGTATTACACTGCAGTTCACTAATGTTTGTAGCAAATGTCCCATGAAAGCAAGTCAATTATGTAATCATATTTCTAATTTTATTATTAACTGGCACAGTTGCTGGGTTGCTTTCATTTTGGAAGGGGGAAAAAAAAAAAAAAATCACACAAAGCACCCCAGCCACTAATTTAGGAGACACCTTCTAAGCACAGGTGTCAGCTTAGGGGAATGGCTTTACACCATTTTTTTTTCCAAAAAGTTAAGTTGAAGGCTGATGGTATCATTTGTATTTCTGATTATTATTTTACTATTTAAAAACTTGAGAAAAACCTCACATAAAGATAATTTTGAAGTCATGAATGACCTGTAATACCGGACTAAGTAAAAAGTCATCACCACCTAAGTGCTCTACCATTTTTTTAAGGACCACAGATTTCCTCAGTAGGCTTTTTACCATCTGATCACATAAAGCCTGATTATTATATTGTGTTATCAGCATCTGAAGCTTCTTTAAAAATACTGTATTTTACCATGTACAGGATCCAGGATGTACAATATATACGTGTTACATAAGCAAGCAATATGATGTTATGATCAAGTAACATTCATTATCAGGGACTTCTGTGATCTAAAAATTCCTTTGAGTGCCAGATGCCAGTACCATTTTTGTATAGGTACTTGTCACTTCCCTTTCATGCATTCAACCATTCAACTGCTATTTTTCAAGCAAAAAGGCCTGAAGCAACATTCAAAAAGCAACAAGGAATCACCAATGGAATTTGTGTGGAATACTTCCAGTGACCACTACCAAGTGGTTTGAGAACACTGATATGAACCCTATGAAATTAAAATAGAAGTGGTGCTAGCTATGGACTAGCATTTTAATACAGACAAGCATAGCTAGTAGCATTTTAATTACATCCATTTGTCTTGGACAATATTACTGCAGATACTAATTTGTGCCACTTAAAAATGCTACCACAGAAGCCCTTCTATAAGAATTTACTGTAACTGTAAATTTAAACCAAGGCAAGTGTGCTCTAGAACTTTAGAGAGACTTCTTTCAAACAAGTTTCCACAGTGAATTGCACAGCAGTTAAGCTACTTATTATTTTAATAGCTACATATGCATTAATTTTATTAGTCACCTGGTAATTACAAGACTCACAGGTAGAAAAATGTTGAAACTGGAAACTCTTTAGTCCACCCTAAAATACACTACTAAGTACTTTTGTCTTACCTTGAACAGCGCTCTTTCATCATCTTGCTCATGTGCTACCAACACTAAACTAGTAGATCCAAAATAAACACCAGAAACCCAGGTTCTGAAAGTCACAGCTCATTGCTAGTGAGCAATAAGAGTATATTTAATTAAAGGAAATTCTTTCACTCTCTGCACCTGTTAAGAAATCAGTTTCCTCAGGCAGGCATTGAAAAATGAAGTCAACCAGTTCAAAAGGCTGAATTGCTAATTCCTTATGTTTTTTAGTTTAATTTGTGCATTTACCTGTTACATACTTCAAGCTTTTGAGTCTGGCTTGTTTTTTGGGTTTTTCTTTACTCAGTAATAAAACCGGGTTCAAACTCTAAAGCTTACTTTATTAATTCCTCCTTCCCACCTCCCCCCCATCCCCACCCTTTTTCTGCCAGTCAGGACAAAACCTTTAGAACAAGCACTACCAGGCTGTCTTGAAATTAGTACTAGCACACACCTACACCTTCATGTACTGGGCATACGCTGTACCAGAGAGGATTGACACAGATACAAATTCAACTCAAAAGCAAGGACTATCAATACACCACATACAAATAAGCCACATAAGCCAATGCAGAACAATGAGGAAATTACATTATTAAAAGTTTTTATTTAGGTTTGGTCAGTACAGGTAAGATAATATTGGAGTCACAGAGCAATATGCATCAACAGGGTACAACAGTTCTTAAAAACTGAGTAACTATGCACACAATTCATAAACATTCGGTCACCTAAGGAGAAAATGCACAGATGTATGGTGGGAAAAACTGTAATTAACACTGAAACTACTACAGGACTCCTTCAGTAAGTCCATCTTTTTAGTGATAAAACTACTGTACTGGGCAAACTTGGCAGTCAAACCCACAGCTATTATGACAAATCTTGAAGGTGGTGTTAAGTATAACAGTATGAGTAAGAATGCCCTTACACAGCACAGGTTCTAGATATACACAGATTTGTACAGACATCATTTATGTTATACTTTATGGAAATAATTTCCATTTCAACTTCACATTAACTCATATAAAAATAACTTGAGCTACACAAACATCCTTTTAGCAACATTCAACGTAATTAACTGTTAAAATTTCCAAAGTGGCAGAGGTATTGAAGCAAAAAGAAACCCACAAAAAGGCAAAATTGTGACAAGTATGCACTAATTTAAACGGCTTCTGGACAGTATCCTCTCCCAATTTCAATGACACTGTATAAAAATTTTGCAGAAAAATGTTACAAAACTGAACCCTGCACATTTACACTGGAGTCCAAACCATTCTGGACATGACGAGAACCCACAGTTCTGTTACCTTTCATGCTCACCGTTTTCTCCTCTTGAGGATCATGATTGGAGTCTGTGTCATTTGAGTGGTGAGTGAGAGAGTTTTCACTGCCAGTGGGAGAGTCTACACTTTCATACCCAGTACTGAGCTGGTTTATGTAGCTACCACTTCCTCTACCAGTTCTATCTTCAGAGTGGTTGGAAAGCTTATTACCATTCCCTGGAGAAGCCGGGAAGTCATCTTCCGTGCCGCTACCCTCCCTATAAAATGCAGGCCCAGACGTCCGCTGGTGGGAGGAGCTGCCATTGCTTGGTCCGTTTGCCAGGCGGCTGCAGTCCTTGCCCGCCGCCTCTCCCTGCTCCGCGGGCTCGGAGGATGGAGTCCTGCTGGTACCTGGGTTGGGGGCCTGCGCCTGCTGCTGCTGGTACTGTGCCAACTGCTGCCGCGTCTCCTTCAACTGCTGCTGAAGAACTAGAATGGTACTCTGCATACCTTCTACCTCCTCATCAAGCTGGATGATGAAGTCATTCAATTCTATGTAAAGAAAACACATTGGTTGCAAACACTTAATAGCCCATATATAGTTTAAATCTCAGACAAGAAATTAAAATCCCGTAACTCAACATTTTATGCTGAAATTTTTCAATGAACTATTGTCTCAGCCATCAGGTATGCACTGGCTTTGATACTCTGCCTCTGAAGGAGAAAATGTGGTATCTACCTATTTTCTAAACTGCTACTGAAAACATATGAGAAAAATTTAACTTCTGAGCAAGAAAGGAAGATATTCGGGAAAAAGCTCAATTGCAGTAATTAATATTGTGCAAGTAGATCCTACTGTGTCTACTTTTACTCAAGTATAAATCCCTGGCAGAAATACTGTAAAAGTGACCATGAACCATATCCATACGTAGAAAATCTGAGTTACTGCAAAACCCTATTCAATAGCCAAAAGTAGTAGTTTTTCATCCTATTTCAAGGAAGTTTCAATTCTTACTGTGTTTAATCCTTGAAATTGTTCAAGAGAGAATGCAAAAATACCTTCTTACCAACAGAGGGTTAACTAATTTCATAGCATTTTAATATTTATATATCACAAAAAGGTTTTTACAATTAGTATTGCATTCTGGAACAAAACAAATTTGACCACAAAACAGTATAAGAAACTGATTCAGTCTTCAGTTCAACTGCACCATCAGTAGGCCAGAGAAAAAAAAATGCAAACTGCTTAATATTGTAAATTTTTTTTAAATGTTCTTGCTGCTACAGAAAACAATCATTAGGAGAACTCTTATTGCAGAAGTAACATCATCTTCATTCATATATGGGGAAGAAGCAACTCAATGCTGGAAATTACTACATTCAAAAGCAGCAGTCTTTGAAGAACATCTACACTTGCTTCAATTATGTACTTGGTAAATTTTGTTGAAGTGCATTATCAAAACAGTAGTTACTATTCCCACAAAATGACACTATACAATCATTTCCTTAAGAGTTCTAGTTATTTTATACTGCTGCTTTCTCAAAGAGATGAAAATATGATTGGGGAATATGATCTACTCCTAAAAATGCATCTCAGATGGGACGCCATACCAAGTTTCTGGTATCTTACAATCTTCAGATGCAAAACAAACAAAAAGATATTCAGATCTATGTGATGTCTATATAGGTTATAACCCCAGGACTACCCATATAGGTTATATTCAGAACACCTAATCTAACATTCTATGAAGAGCCACTGACACTACAAAGAATTTGAGACTGAAGAAAGACTTTCAAACCTGCATTTTCCCCTCCATTTAAATTGTGCAAGAGGTCAGAGTTTTTAGATCATTTCAATTTAAGCTTATGGTGTTGCAAAATTTCGATTATAAACACAATGAGACATTTTCATTCACCTGAGTTACCAAAAGGAAAAAAAATCAGTTTTTCATATTCTTAAGCATTGTTGAAAAGGTGAATTTTTAAAAAAATTCCAAATGAGTCAGAGTTAACAAGAAGCTTTCTGCTCTCAGTGCATGCCTAGGCTATATGTTATAAACAGCTCTCATCTTGCCAATTCACCAGTAATGTGTGCAGTCTAGACATTCCCTATTAAATAGCAAGACTTACAGTATAAAAATCTCTATTGCAAGCACTGCATTACTGGAGCTGTGAATCCCATGAGTTCCCCCAAATTTAACGATTTTATTTAACTAAGACTACCAATTAATACTTACTATTACATATTTTACTCAATATTGCCCTTTCATTCTGGCAAAGGTGATTTTGTATTATCTATATCATCACAGAATTAAACTTGCAGAAGTGCAAGGCAACTTTTCTATTTTTTGTTAAAAAATCCCTTACCATCCTGACTGCTTTTAAGTTCCTCACTATATTTCTTCTGTAAAGCCAATTCTGCCTCAAGCTGTGCAATACGTCCTTGGGACAGCTGCCTTCCAAGCTCTTGATTCTCCTGGATAAGCATTCGACACTTCGCCATTAACTTTTTCCCTGTTTGGCTGCAAAGGAAAGAGCCATCTATCACAAAATGAATATAAAACCTTCAGTTATCTTCCTCAATCACTAATAAAGACAAAAAGGAGATGCGATTTCTGCATGTCACAATCCAAGGAACATTATGCCTCAACATAATTGTCATAGCAGAAAGTCTCCCTATAGTTACCACGTGCTGTTCCAACGCCAGGTGATCTTCTGTCGCTGTCCCACAAAGTGGAAGGCAAGTTTTATTACTGAAAATATGAATAAGCATATTGCACTTTTTTAATACCAACATCTGGATTATCAGTATGCACAATCTTGCATGTGCCAATTCTTAATGTAGTTAAATACTTGATTAAAGATGTGTTTTTCAATTCAAAAAAATCAAGGACTGCATACAAACAAGCAAATTATAAGCAAAATCACTGCCCATTTGTTGTAGTAATGAAATTTAATAACTGAATTTGGGTGAAGAGAAGTTGCTTGGGGGAAATAATCTCATGTTCATTTTTCATACTGACAACTGTTTTTCTTTAATAGGTTTAAGCATTCATTTAAATGCTGTCCACGTACTCTTGTTTAAAAAATGAGATGTCCATTTTGCAACTCAACTTATGTGTTTGACAGTCACATGCAGAGTCTGCTTCATGATTTCTATGGTCATAAGTACATCTTGTATGGTGAAGAAGAATGAAAATGTAGCTGGACATTGTAAGGACATCAAGGAAGGGGTATATTATCTATCTACTTTCTTTAAATTGACAGATTTCAGAACATAAGTAATGATCATTAGGACACAGTTTCTGAAAGAAACGTGAAACAGGTAGAAACTGACAAGATTTTCTTTTCTAAATGGGTAATGTTACACATCTTTAATCTTCATGATAAAAATCTCATTGTAAAGCATTATAGGAAGTAGTATGCAAATTAATATATAGGCAATACAGCTGACTCCATGAAAGAAAGAAATTAAAGTCCTTTAGGACTCTCAGTCTGCCAAGTCAGGAGAGCATCCCCAAACAATTCTCCTTTTAATAGGCTCAGCACCATAATGAAGCTGTCTTCTTTTCTACAGAGGTGTAAGCTCTGGCAAAACCCCAAACTTGAACAGTTTTATTGTGAATTCAATAGCAAGACTTGTATTCTCTTCGAGACCAAGAAGGTCATTTAATTTTTTGTAGGCTTTTAAACAAGTGACAAATACTGAAAAAACCTGAGGATTAAAAAAGTAGAAGAGCAAATTTCTGCTACAATCACAGCCACAATTCTCTCCTGCAACCAAAGTACAATAATTTAAAACAGCAATTCCTTATCAGCTACCTTCTGAGCACTCAAGCCTTAAACAACTTTTAATTTCTCTGCCAACTCTGCCCCATTTAACATTTTTCAACTGACTTTCCCAAATCTTTCAGATGGGCTGCTCCAGAAGGAATCTGGCTGTGTAAAGTCCTGGAGGCCTGAAAATCTGCTAAAGGCAGCAGCCTGTTTTCTTTCTTGATGTGATGTCCAATGCCAGGTCCTTGAAGTTTAAATTGTGCCGACCTAATACAGTCCAAGTCGCACATTTAAGATGCAAGTTTCCTTAGAGATGTTCATTCTGTGCAAAGCAGGACCACTTTGGAGATAACCAATGTGACAGATCCCAAAAGTTATTAGGCAGACATGATTTTTAGCCATTTGCAAATTCCTGTTAATGTATTCACCATCACTACAAATAGAAAAAGTTTACAATGCTTATGTCATTGAATGCTTTTCTCTTCACAAACCAACATCAACGGCAGAATCAGCAAGTACCAGTTACCTTGGAATTGGGACAATTTTAGAATCCCATTAATATCTTCAGGTTAACTCCTGCCAGAATGTTAAATATTTATTACCTGTATAGAAATTTGCATAGTTACCTATAATGCTATTTCTTCTCATCAAAATTTTTCCAGATGTTCTGAGCTAGTAGAGAATAACCCTTGCAATTTACAAAAAAGACAGTGCATTCAAATAAATTAAATACAGTAGCCATTAAAATAATTCATCTGAACTGTAAAACTAAGTTCAGCATTGTTTTCACAAATCCTCTTGAACACACATGCAACAAAACCTGCAAGAATATAAATGGTTAAATTTCAGAAGACTAAAGTTTGTTGTACTACACTTACTGCAAAATGCCATTTCAACTAATTTTTATTCCAAGCTTATACTCTGCTTAATGATGGTTAAAATGGCTTAGCATAGCCATTCCTTTGATTACATGTCTTTTATTTCCCCCTCCAGACATCAGCAATGTTAATGCTGCACAGCTTTACCTACATTAAGGTCCAGAGCTAGCTCTGCCTAGGGCTGCAGTTAATGTGTTAACCACCTGGAGAACACCAGTTTAAGATCTGAATAGGGCCACTGCTTCTTTCAAAAACTAGGCCAGATGCCATGAAATGAGTAGTTGTGTACATGGATGGACAATTAAAACAACTGGGGGGAGGAGGCCCAAGATGCAAAGAGAATTAAAAAAACCCTACAAATATTTTACATGAGCCAATTTCTTCACCTTTCAAGAAATAAAACCAGTAAAATCTTAACCCAGTTAACAAAGCCTCAATTATTTACCAGGAAATAACTAACTTTCTATATTCCTGCCACTGCATGTATGAATTATGCACATTCACACCACTGACTTAAAATTATATTATGCAAATTAGGGGATGTTGCAGCTAAAGAAATAGCATTTTCTTTTGACACTTGGGTATAAAGGCAAGTTACTTGTCTCTCCTCAGTGGTACTCACGCATTCAGAGCCTAAAGACTTTAGAAAACAACCAACCTGTACCTACATGTATTAAATAAATTTCTGAATTCCAAGTTAGAAACAAACAATCTGCATGGCATGCCTCTTTCAACACACTGCAGTGAGCTTTACAAATGTCTTGGTAACACATTAACATTTTATTAATGTAAGTCTTACCTCTGTTTTGATGCTAGATCAATAAATTATGCATAGATACTGCTATAGCAAAATCATTCCAGATATACCACTTTTTAAAAGGTAAAGTTTTTCTGTGGATTTTTCTTTTGGTGTTAAGGCATTACTCATGCAAAAAAAAAAAAAAAAAAACCTGCATAAGTATACTAGTCTTTTATCCCATATTAATCATCTGAAGCACAAACAGTTAAAGATACTTCCAAGTCAAAATTATATAATAATTATGTAATGGAATCTTAATAAAAGTCAGCAAAACTGTTAGAATACATCACCTTCTGTGACAGCTGAATGGCTCTTTAATTTAAAAACTAATTTTTAAACTGAGTCATAAAACACTGCCCAACTGTTTTGAAAAATCAACACCTCAGATTACTAAACAGAACTCTCTTTGCTATGGGAAGAAACAAACACAAATGCTACACCAGATCTACATTTTGCTTTACAGACCTTAGACATGCACTCCCAACTGTCCCAGATTGCTACTCTTACAAGTAACTTGGGAGGACAGAACAGAGGCATCAGTAGAGTAGCAAAAACTCCTTCACTGAATCCACCAAAGAAAATGCATGCATTTAAGGTTTTTTGGTTTGTTAAAATACTGACTTTGTTTTCAGCGAACGAGACAATGCAGAAATAACAACCTGTTCAATTCTCGTTCATCCCAGGAGTTTCACGATACAACAGTAAAACCAGAAGTGTTCCTTGAACTATGTATTACAACTATTTCAAGGCACATTTTATAGAGAAGCACAATACAAAAAACCCCAGGTGTACAACGGAATAAAAGCACCCCACCAACACTGAAGACAGTTGCCATCATGTGCCTTCTGTATTAAGCATTTGAGATCAGTTCTTAGAATGAAGATAAAAAAAGTCTCATTTCTGCATGAAAACATGCAGTGAAATTCTTATCACAACCAGTTTTTCTTATACATGCTAGTTGTGATCAAATATATATTGCTTCAAACAATTTTAAACCTGCATTTAGATGGAACGTACAGTTTTGTACAGTCCTAATTTTGAGGCGTCCACAGTATTACCAACCATCCAGAAAACAGTTCATTATTTAGCAACAGTGACTTAAGGCTGCATCAAGTGCTAGAGTGCCCAAAGGCTAAACAGTCAAATGTGTACACTACCACTGTAGTGATATCAAATAGCACTCTTGTGGCTATTCAAAACTGGTTAGCAAATAAACTCTTTAATGCAAAATTCACCTCATCGAGTTTTGACCCAGCAGTTCAGTGAACAAGCAGGAAGTCCACAGTCTTATTGGCAAAACTGACTTACAGTGTCTCTAAGTCACTAGGCTCAAGGTTATGAGCGAAGCATATTCCACTTCTACATTTTTTGGGAATTTTACATGTTCAATTCATGATTTATAATCTCTACGTTCTCTCTCCTCCAAACTGTCTGTAGACACAGTGTGCCACAGACTTAAGACTTCTGTTTCTCCCTCTATTTTCTTCAAATAGAACAATTTTGCAAATGTCTACATGTTCTAGAAAACATTTTTTCGAAGATGGCCATTTCCTCAGAATAGTCCGACGTTGTCAGGCCTCTGAAGCAAAGGGGAGAAAAAAGCTGAAACACAAGGTTCATCTGGTAAGTTTTACATTAATCATTACAAGCTGGACAGTATAAGAATGTGGCTTTTGCCTCAAAACGTCTGAGTCTTGGTGTGGAAACGAGTACTTGGCTGTCCCACCATAGCATTCTCGTAGTGGGACTGTCAGGGAAGTCTTGACTGGGGAGTATTTGTTTTGTTTACCTATCAGGCGTAAATTTCCAGGCACTCAGTTCATTTTGGGCTTGTTCCAGTTTGTCTTTAGTCTGTTCCAGTTCACCTTTCATTTTTAGGAAAAACAAGTTGATGGCTGGGTCTACCATTGTTGATCGCAGTTGGGCAACACTAGGCTGCTGGACTTGCTTGAGGTACTGAATCTGATTCTGCATAAAATAAGAAAAAAAGACTGTTATTCATACAATATTAAATAAAAATTGAGTCCTTTCAATACCAATAGTTACTCCAAAGTTAACATGAAGGTAGCTTGCCCTCTCTCACACTGTAACCCAAAAAACGCAGGATAACAACCACTTGTGCACACCTTGCACCCTTGTCCATGTGCCTGCTCACCCAAGGCCCCATCCTAAGCACCTGCCATGCTTTACCTGTCATGGCAGACTCCCCTCCAGGTCCCAAGGTTATTTTCTACATGTCAATTTACATTTGTCAGAGCAATATCCGGAACATTAGAATGCTCCCTTTCTTTTCTATCTCCCTGCACTCCTTCTGGGGAACAAAGAGCATATGGAAAGAATTACCTGCTTAAAACAGATAGTCAATTCCCACTTAAGTTCAGTGGAAGTTATTAAGGAACATTACAGCAGAAATTGACAAGAAATATTTACAAGCAAATAAAAAAGCTTTTTAGAACCTAAGGGTTTTTGCAACTGTAGTAGTCACTTATGATGCAAGATTGAGTTTCTCTAAAACAAAAATTTAGAAATACTAACAGCAATTAAAACAGATTTTGGTTGGATTTTATTCTCTTTGCAAAAAACTAAGCCAAAGGAATTGCAATTTTATATGTTTGAAACAGTAGCAATAGTCAAAATTTCAGAAGTAGTAACTGAGAGGTTTCCTTTTAAATATAGTATTTATTGTTCAAAACAAATGTAAATAAATAGAATTAACTTTAAAAGTTTCTTCAATTTTAATGCCATCACAACAGACATATCTAAAATTGTATGAAATGTACACATTTGGAACCCTGCTAATCACCAATACTGCGTAAGCCTGCACAGAATGTGTTGATTCCTAAATTCAATTTATGGTGCCCCCTGTATCACACACTTTTCTTCATCAGCAAGAGGTGAACAGAACCATACGCTGTTAAAAGACATTCATTGAAAGTCAGATGGTTTGCTTCCCATGCAGGCAGTCCTGCAGACTTGAGAGCAAGAGAGTTGAATTGACAAACCCTAAAGGGGAAGAGTCTCCCTGCACTGTCTCCTTTCCTTGGGACACAGCACAGCCAGCAGCACTGACAGCTCACCCATGTTCCTGAGCTGCTCTCATGGGGTCTTTACACAGCAGTGGTGAAGAGGAAGTACACAAGTCCTACATACATTCCATGTGCAGTAGGAACCTCAGTCACTTCTAAATTGAGTGTAACATGTTTTAATTTATGTATTGTCAAGCAGTAAAATTTCCTGGATTTTATTTCAAGTGGTTTCAAAGGTGGAATAACACAAGTATTTCCTTGGACACATTAATTTGTTATTATGAAAATAAAAACACTTAGCTACTTAAAATTGAAATCATCATACTTTAAAGTTCTATATATGCAGAAAAAATATAAAGGGAATAAAGCACTGCATATAAATATTTTAAGGAAATAAAGAATCCACATACAATGTGGGTAATGCACCTAGAAACAGGAAAATCCAGATTAAGGTTATGCTAACATTTCTTGGATGGCATTTTACCTCTCGGGCCTTTGCCTTACTGAATGCAAATATATTGCTCACTGAATAAAGGTAAATCTTATTCATTGTTATTGATTTATATTTCCTGTCCACTCAATTATTTGATTCTTCTGCTACTGAAGTATTTCAACAACCTGTCAATTCTTTGTGATGGCTAGAGCTAGTAGACAGTAAAATGGACAAATTCACTGGCAAAATATTTCAGATATATAATCATGATACAGCAACATTGTTCCAAATCCATTTTTAAAGAGACATCTCTACCTGGGGGGGGAGAAAGGCCATTTCCTGGTCTTACCAAGGCCCAGAATCCTCCCTCTTACACCATAAATCTAAAAACTGTAACAGATTGCCAGGATCACTAGCACACAGAATTGGTGCTGCTGCTCCTCAGTCACACCAGAAATGCACTCAAACCCTCCAGAGGACCCAGCCAATGCTGTGCAATGCCAGTTATTTAACAATCTCATTGGGGTCTCTCCAGCTCACACTCCTGAGCCCAGCAGATGGCAAATGCACAGGACTTCAGTTCAACCATCATTCCTAAAGCAGTCACGTAGAAAAAAAACTTACTTAAGCTTAACAATCCTTGCTCATTCCCTCCCCAAACCTCAAAGACCATTCTTTCCCTCCACTTTTTCCAACTTAAATTTTCTCAATTCCTGAGAAACAAGTGTCTTCTCCAGTTGTTAACTCCAGAGTTCTCATCTGTCAGGCTCTTCATCCATGAAGACCTAACAACCTCCTCCTCCCAAGTATGACCTGTTCCCAAAGCAAGCCCAAATGTCTCCTCTTTTCTGCCAATTTCCTAATTACGTTTACCTTCCTGCTTAGCCAGTCCAAACCTCACATTTTTGCTCCCTCTAATCACTTTCTGGTGCGAGTCACCTCCCACTGATATTGCAGGTGGCAAGGGTTAGGGAGCAGGAGAGTTTGCCTACAGTCAGGACCAACCTCAAGCTATAGCTGTACATACAGGAATAGTCATGTTCAATGCCAGACCCCAGGGAATGCCCACTTTAACACCTGAAATGCCTACAGACTCTTCATGTTCCCAAACATGAAAGCACACACCAGCTAGTATTTTTCAAAAGCCTATCAGATGGACAAGTAGAGGTAATTTTCACAAAGAGAATAAAAATCTTGCTTTACATTAAGCATTACAGCTTTCTCTCTGTTCCAGCCCAAGGCAGGAGGAGAGCACTGAAAGCAGTCTATTTAGAGGGCTGTGTGAGGTTTTGTTCATGTGGATTTGTATTATTTTGTTAAAGACAGACAGTAACATTTTCAATGCCCCTAGTTCTCACATTCTTGGAAACAGTTGCATGCTTTCAGCTGAAATCATCCAAAGATAGCTACAAAAAACCGACACTCTAAACATGACAAATTTACAAAACAGATCACAGGTGCCTGAGAGAAAGCAAAAGCAACCAAAGTCAGATCAACTGTATATCCTTCTTACAAGGAAGGAATAAAGCACACAACTAAGAAGAGAAAGAAGAGCTGTAACAAACCACAGGAGTGATGACTACCTAGTGCTACAGTCCAATTGCACCCACACAGAGTTCCACTCGTTGTTATCTGTTCCACGAAAAGTATATTTGAGCAGCAAGTATTTCCAAATGTCTACCCACTGACTCTCAGTGACTGTGCAGCAGCCTGGAAAGAGGTTAAGGCCTTTCCCTGAAGTGGCATTAACCTGACCACCACTTGTGCCAGAAATAAAGCTTTATGAAGAAACCATAGCCAATACTGCTCCCTAAGAGCAGCAACCTCTTCTAGAGGGCTGTTCCTGCTGGGGGAAGGTAGCTCGAGGCTGCTGCTGGCAACAGGGCACACAGGATGTCAAACACCTGTACTTCAAAGTAGCCCTTAGGGACTCTAAAACCACAGAGTAACTTTGCAGCACCTGCCACAGACTTTTACTAAGCTGCTGGCTCTGAAGAAATCCATATATTCTCCTGCCAGACTCAGCACAGAGCATCAGAGAGAATGGAGCTATGCACCTCCCTCCCATTTTCTTTCTTCAAAAACAGCACTGACACAGAATAAGGGCAATGATTCTGCTACTGCTACTCTGACATGCACACCTACACTTTAAGATGACAACTGGCGACTTTCGTAAGCTGAAAACACACTAAAAAACTACTACTTTTAAAAAGGGTGAAAATTAAAACACCAAAATAGGGCTCATCACACTCTGTTTTAAAACAGAGCTGGTGTACTTCAGTAAGCAAGGTGTTCTACACAAGTGATCAGAAAACTCAGTCTTTGCCAACTACCAGCAGTTGAACATGGTATGGTATTAAGTTTTTAACCATTAAAATTTGAATGCATTAAGTCTGTAAAAATAAAATGTCCCAAAAACACATCTGCAGATTTTCAAGAAACGAGGCACCATAAAAGCTCAGTCTTTCTAATTATAATGTGACAGGAAACACTGAAGGCTTACATATAAATGTTAGTGGTATATTTTACCACTAACATTAAATGTTAATATAAATGTTAATGGTGTATTTTTAGATTATAAAAGAATTGTTAACTATAATAAAAATATGGAAAATTTATTTTATGGATTAAAATTGGGCATGTCGAGTAACATCACATGATTAACAGCTTATTAAATGATTTAGCAACCTGTAGCTTCACTTTGCATCTTATCCAACATGACATTTTTCTACTGTTATTGTAGTGGAAAAAATACTCTCTAGTAATACGAAGGAAAGCAGTCCTTCAGACCTTCCTGAAACTATGTGCATTTTTAAACTTCAAAATACCTAAATGTGACCATGTCTCCATTATACACCTCCAGGGTACCCATTTTACACCTCTTCTTCAAGGATGCATCTTCCCACCACCATGTGCTGTGGAGATTACATCCTCAGTGTCATTCTTGAGTCAAGAGCAGAAGAAATATAAACCACCCGAGTGTGTGGGCATGTGTCTGTTTTTTGTTTCTTTTTGGTAGGTTGTTACACATCCTTTATTTTTTTTTTCAAGTACACTGAAAATAAAAGCTCTTCAGAAGTTCTTCTAAACAGATGTTCTGGAAAGATTATGCAGCTATAAACATCTAACAAAGTGCAGCCAAAACCCCTATAGTCTTCATGATATTCAAATCATTCATGACAGTCAAATTCAAAGCATTAAATACTTGAAGTTTATAACTTCAAGGAAGAAACAAAGGCAAATACAGCGCACACAAATTTGGTTTTGGTGAAAAACTTGTATTTCTTTTAATTTATTTTTAGTATTTACTGTTTTAGCTATATGCTAAGAAGTTCAAAAGAAAATAAAGCCTATTATTACTGGTGTTCCACATAGCAGAATTTATCAGTACAACTTCCCAAGTGAAGCATGACCAATACAGCAGCCCTACAACTGGGGAAGCGTTGCAGTCCAGTACCAGAACAGATCTTCACTGGCACCTGGGCTGCATTAGCAGAGTGCTGCCAACAGGCTGAGGGGGCTGATCCTTCCTCTCCCTTGACACTGGTGAGAGATCTGGGCTACTGGGTGCAGATCTGGACACCCCAGTACAAGGGAGACACAGCCATACCAGGGTGAGGCCAAGGAAGGGCTGTGAGGCTGATAAAGGCGTTGGAGCATGTGACACACAAGCAGAGGCTGAGAGCGTTAGGGCTGCTCAGTCTGGAGATGCTCCCAATGTGCATCAATACCTGATAGGGAGTAAAGAAAGCAAAGCCAACAGTGCCCACTGAAAGCACAGAAGGTGATGGGCACAAGCTGAAACATGTGAAGTTCCACTTAAACATAAGAACACACATTCTGCTGCGTCAGTGGTTCAACACTGGCACAGGTCAAAGACTTCTGCATTTCTCTCCATTTCACGAGATGCTTAAAATAGTGTGCAGTCCTGAGTAACCTGGCCTGACTGACCTGCTGTGAACAGGCAGGCTGGACTAGAAACTGCCAGTCTCTTCCAACCTCAATGATTCTGGGCTTCATTTTTTGCCACTGCAAAGTAAGCTTAATCCCCTTTATTTTTTTCTTGTTTATCACACTGTGAACTAAAGTGATCTTATGGTCTTAACAAAAGTGAAAATACTGTGTACAGAGTTCAGTAACACTACTATACCTGACTGCTCTGAAAAACTTCAGGCAAAAAGGAAAGGAAAACTTAAAAAGCAAAGGAAAACTACAACACTAGTTATTAGTTTTGCACAGAGCTTGTACTTTTCATAAGAGAAGCTTAAAGAGTATATTAGTAAAACTAGCAATAAGCTTTTTGCATTCCTCTCAGAAGCTGCCAGATTCAAGCAGAATGAAAATTATGTTAAGAAAGTAATCCAATATGAGATAGTTTCCAAGAAACCAAAACTAAACACAGATGTAAAAGACACAAAATGGCCAGAAATGAAGGAGCAAGAAACAAAGATCAACAAAATACATATTGAGAACAGTAGAAATTAAGCAGATCTGCCAAATTGCAAAAGAACTTTAAACAAGTCAGTAGCAACTTCATCTATCCGGCCAAGAAGACAGAGGCTTACAAACAGCCTTACACTGTTAGCCAAAGGCAATGTGTCAGCCTCAAACCTCCTAAATGAAACCAAACAAACACAATCATATCCTTATGTTTTCATTTGTTCCTGACTCTAATGATACTCAGAAGTAAAATTTTTGTAGATAGGCTCTGCAGATAAATGCTAGAAGAGAGTAAGCATGGCACATGCAAGAATTAGCTCGGTTTGAAGCAAACCAAGCTTCAATCACAACTGCTGCTGAAAATCAATAGCAATAACTAGTATTAAAAAAAACCCCAAACTTTTAAGAAGTGATCTTTACTCATTCAACTAAGCTACCTGCTGTGCCTTTAAACACAGAAAATGTGATGGTGTAGATACACAAAAAACATTGTCCAGCTCGTATGGTACTGGCTCAACAGCTGATGTTGCTACAACAGTTTGAACACATTTATCCTTTCGGAATACTTACAGTACACTCTTGCATCTCCTGTTCCTTAGTTGCCAGCCTCATCACCAGAATATTTTCTCTTCGGGCAGACTCTTGCTGTTGCTGTTTCAACTTCTCTTCAGATTCTCTCAGCCCCGTCACATCATTAGCTAACACAAGCAACAACAGAGAAAGCGTTTTATAGTACCCTCTCATAGGAAGTGTTAAAAAGGCAGCTAAAAGAATCTAAAAACCAATTTCATAAACAGTTACACTTTTTGCAGGCATGTTTATAACTAGCATAAACAAAAAACAAAATGTCAGTAAGTATTGGAAAAGCTTAACAACAGCTGGCTTTAAAGCCATATTCCTGGTCCTCCTTTAAGACTTACTAAAACTTTCAAGATGTTTCCATGTCTGTATAGGAAATCACTTTGTGCTGCAAAAATCAATCTGCAGTCTGTAAAACACTGCTGTTTATGGGCAATCCTCAAACTGGCCTCAATACTCCAGGAGCAAACAGTAAGATATTCAAGAATATTCTGTTCCAACTAGAATTCTGATCCACGGACATTTATGAAAAATTATATATGAAATACAAGAGAATGCAGCACATTTCCAAACTGCTCAAACAAAAACATGCAGGCAGCTCAATACCAACTGTGTACATTCACTCTACTACTTGCCATATGTAACACAAAAACTTGAAAAATTTAAATTTTCATTTTTTCCTAATTTCTGGAGAATAATCAGCTCTAAATATAACCTGAGCATCCAACTGCCTCAGGACAATGATTTCTAAATAAAACCTTGCAGATAGTACAGGCCATAGTGGTCAGTGTTAATGAATTGTTTTAAAATCAAGAAACCAGGAATGTTGAAACAACTTATTTATCTATGTTTAGACAGTTTGAGATGTGAATGGAATCACCTGTTTCCATGTGCTCTATTTTATTCTCTACAAAATATTATGAAACAGCAGTAGAAGAAGGAGGTAACAACAGCAAAATAGAGAACATCCATTTGGACTGACAGAAAAATGCCCTTCAAACTCAGTGGTACTATAGCTCTAAGTATTTAGACTGAAAAGGTGAGTGGAAAACACAAAAGACACCATCCCTAACTGGCAATACAACTTTTAAAAGTGACTTAGGATTGGGTGTTCAGTCACTCCCAGAATGTATTCATATTGTATCATTTCAGAGTAGGATGCTTTCCCCACATTATCTTCCAAAAGACCAAGTTTTAATGACCATGTAAGAATGACAATCAAATTTGCCTAATCAGATCAAACAATCCCTGGGGACTCATTTTAGACATTTACCCCTAAACACTGTTTCTCCTCCCAGCCTTATAATCCTGTAAGACTACTAAAGGCACAGACATTGCTGGAGTATTTCAGTAGACAGTGTTTCTTTTTCTAATGGTAAAGTTCTGAAAGTACACTTATTTATGGGGTTATGCTTTAAAGCTTCCCCCTGCCCAGCAGTCTGTGTCCTATAGATGCAAAATAAAGACTTTTTACATGGTGGCAGAAATTTGCAACTGGAAAAGAAGCTGGTAAGAAAGCTGGGAGAAGCTGAAAACTTGCAGTAGAAAAACAAGGGCTGTTTTCCTAACAACTAACTGACATAACAGATTAGTATATCTTACTTCTAGCACTTCTAGAAAACACACATATTACTTTACACATTCTGATAACGTGAACCATTTTGAAACCCAGCTAACTTACAATTAAGGTCTGTGTACTTGCCCTCCAGAGCTTGCACATATGCTTCGTATTGTTTCCACCTGTCACAGATATAAAAAGAAAAAACATTTCTGAAGCTCTGTTTATTAAATCAAGGCATGTCATTCCTAAGCTTTCAGAGCACACACTGATACCATAATCAGAAAATGTAAAGAAGGAAATACACAATTGCACAAAAGACAATTCCAGTTTTAAAAAAGGAGCTTTTGATTGTGGAAATAGTTAAATTGCTTTGCATCTCAGAGGAACAAAATGGTAGTTGTGTATTACAACACAAAACATCTTAAAAATCAGTATTTTAGACAAACATTAGAATCAAACTACTTATTTCTGTTATCTTTGTAAAGTACCCTATATGCATTTTATTCTCATAGCAGAGCAATTCAAACAAAATTCTGTAACAAAGTGCAATACAAATACAACATTAAGTATGTTACCAAGTGAACAGGACAAGCAGAAGTGTATCATAACACTAGAAATGGCAGTCTAGGCTAAGCAGCTGTATCTCAGCTCATTCAAGTTAAGACCACTCTCTGATTACATCCACCATCCATAAGCCAAACAGCTTAACAACTCTCTGAAAACACGTTATTTAGGAAATTCATCCGCAGTCAAACAACATCACCTAAAAAAAGCACTGCATTTTATACAAACCATCAAATCAGTAGCAAATAAAGTCTGCTGTGAAGTTTAGCATGAAATGCTTTATGAAAAAGTTCACAGCACAGCATATTTGGGATTTTGAAGTAGTACTCTGCACCTAACTACGTGTGTTCCTCATGATGGTACAACCACACATTATAAAGAAAATTGATCTGATAGCTTACCACTATATAGGAGGTGTCTGCTCCCTCCTCGCCATTACCTTCCCACCCTAACATGTATTTTATGCCAGACTCACCACAACTGCTCCATTTTAACTCTCTAACCTACACCACTACTTTAATTGAAACTATAAATCTACCTATAGGTAATTTGGACCATTTAGTGAATTCCAACAGTACACTGAAGGGTCTAAAAAAGCATCAGAGAATCAGAGATCTGTAACAGCAAGCAAGACCACATCACTGGGAAAAGGAAATGAAATCACAAGATCTCTTCCTTCAAGCAACAACAAAATTTTACATCTCTTCAGCTGAGTATGGCAACGGCATGAACAAACTCTCAAAGCTCTGTAAAAGAGAGCAGTAGTATTCATACTTAACCCTTAAACTGATCTCTCTGATCTAAGGAGTTTCACCATTTGACCATTAAAAATTCTATGTTAATTCAGGAGATTTCAATCTCCCAGAAGTAAAACTGAAACGGCCTACTAAACAACAAGTCTAAAAAGAAAAAACCTAATTGTACATTAAAAAACTGACATGAGTATATTGAACAGTTATATTCCTTAAATCCATTAAGTGCCCTTTTTGAGAGCATATTAGTTTTTCTACACACTAAGAAGATGATTCAATAGCAACATAGCTGTCATTAGCAAATTCCCTTCTGCTTCTTCTTTAACACAGGTGAGCTGCTAACATACTTTACCTCCTTGCAGGCATTCCATCACATTGTCTCCTGCATATGTGCTGGAAACTCATCTCCCCTATGTAGCGACTAATGATTGCAAGTTACAGACAGCCTTGATAACCTCTTCTCGTTTTCACACTATCAGTCAGAAAGCAAGTGGCACAGAATCTATGCTTTGGTACTTTCACATTAATTTTATCGCAGCAAGTAAAGGGCACAGCTTTGGAGACTTAGGAGTTTTCTACAAAAAGGATCACAGGACCAAAACCACTTAGGAAAGAAGCATTTTTTCTTACTGTTTAAATACATTTTTCTTTACACCCTAAAAGACTGGATACTCAGAAGCAGACAGAAACTAGTTTTAAACATCTGGAGCCAGACCGTTTACTCCTTGGAAAAAAAACTGTCACCCCAAAAGGAGCAGGCATGACAGTTTACCCAGAAGAGAGGGTAGCTGATCCCCATGTACACCAAGTGTTGCATATGTAAGTCCTTGTTTCCACACAGTTTAGTCTTTGTTCTATAAAACAGCAAAATTTACCTTGAGACCCTAATAACACTAATAACTCCGTGTACAAGAAGCCAAGAACTAATGTTTACCACTATTCCAGCAGATAAACAGATGCGCCACAGAAGGCTGGTTTGGATAGCTCCTGGCTTACAAATCAGGAAATTCAGGCATACACAGACAAGTGGCCTGGGGTGGTTTCTTTAAACAGATGGTATGTGCAACAGAATTCCCCATAATTGTTCCTGTCGTGACACTTAAGCTTTCTAAAAAGTTAAAAAGACAGACAGGTTCTTTCTTATCAAAGTTCTAGGCAATGAAAACTTCATTTTAACATTTTTCTGTTAATATCTGAACATGCTGAGAAGACAAGCGCAAGGGCAGAGAAAGCATAAAAAAGTACTGGAGAAGTAAAGAGTTGACACTTTTCTGATGTTTAAAATAGCTTGCTACCTGTCAAGGAATGCAAGCAATCATATCTTCTATTGTTGTGAGTGAAGAAAAAAAAAAATACTTGTGCTCATGTTCTACAAAATACTATTAAGGATTTTGCCTCTTGGGAAGAAGTGTTCCCTTCCAAACTACAAATATTTGAGGCCAGAGGAGAACTTTACAGAAGAGATACATTATGAAACAAATAGAACTGTTTTTCAGAACAAGGATGCTGAAAGACAACTAAAGAGTAAATTCACACATCTTCCACAGAAAGTTCACAAAAATGTTGAGATGAGAAAAAAGACTTTTTACATTACCTTAGGATAAGCTCATCTCTAGGTAAAACCTTAAAATCTGCTTCACTAAGGCGAACCTATGAAGCAAAAAGAAAAGCACAACTTATCAAGCTGTCCTGATTACCTGGAAGGGTGAAGTCACAAGTAAGTTTACACATACCTTCTTTGGGAGAGGTTCTTCATTCGTCATTGTGAACTCTGAAGGGAGAGGAGAAAAAGGAGTTTTATTTAGTGCAAACAGAGCACTGAACAAGTCAAACTTATAGCCTTAATTGTTTTAGTTTGCAATATTACACCACTGAAATGTTGGTTCCACACAAGGCACCACCAGAGTACAAAATAACACTATGACATGTTTGCTCCTGTAATCTAGATACAGTCAGCTGCATTTTTTCTAAAAGTTAGCTCAAACTTTCTATTTCTATCTAAAAAGCCAATTAGTAATCAATCCTTCCTATTTAACTAATCAAAACCACCCAACTTGGTATCAAACTGACATTTAGTATGCATCTACATCTACATAACATTGTATTTTACAAGATAAAGGATAATCAGGGTCTGAGGAAAGCAATTTATACTGCTGCTCCTCCTCTTTGGAATAAAAGAGAATAATTTGTGAACATTACAACATGTTCTTACAAGTACTTATTCTCTTAAGATTCAAACAAACGGGAAGTACGGTTATTTTAAAACCCGTGCGAATATTCTCAAGAAAAGTAGGATGCAAACTAGCGTAGATAGGCCATCAAACTGAATTCCTCTGGTGCACACAGAGCACAAGGGGGCTGCATTTTGCTAGGTTAATATTCACACTGCTCTGAGTTACAGGACATGCTTCCTTATCTCGAAAGAGTAATACACAGTATTTTCTACAGCTATGATTATGTAAGAAATACTGAGCTCCTAAATCTTACAGGCATTCAAGTAACAGTAAATGCAGGGTTTGCTGGTGGCATCCATCTTTGCAATATGCTTTCTAGTGGCAAAGTTGCATATAATACTAAGAGTTGACAAGCTTGTAAAGCTGCTACTGCACATGTACCAGGGAAAGGACGTGTCAACTCCTGAGCTGTGAACACTGAGCTTTAAAGAAACAATGCTCTTAAGGAGTACATATTCTATTTTCTCAATGATTTTTATGGATTATCTTAGTATTTTCACAACGACACTCAATGAACCAATCTAACTTTTCCAAACCCCAAAACTGTTGGTCAGTAAGACAAGCAAATACATTCCAGTGAAGCAGAGTTTTCAACCCGCACTAAGTGAGACCGCTGACAACTACACAGGACCCTACCAAACAAGGGCCTGGTTAACAACAACAAAACAACCAACACTCACTCTCCCTTCCTAGAATAAATACTGACATTAGAACCCACAGAAAGAAAACATTCAGTAGAAGCATCTCACTAATGAATGGCAGCTTCCTGGTGCTAGGCTTAGTAACACACTAAGTGCTTCCCTAAACTAAGAAGTGCCCTTCACTCCCACCCCCTTCCCTCCTGCTAACAAGAAGTTACTCAAGTATTTTACTTCAACTTCTGCACGCAGCTCCTTATTTGAAACTGTTTTACCAAAAACATACCTCAAATAGAAAATACAAGCCTAAGAGGGTGCTGATACAAATTGCCAGTGCCCAATTCAATCATTCAGAGTAACTTGGGATTACAGAGGGAATGCTTGTGACCCCTGTATTTAAGCCGCCTACCTTCCCCCTCACTGTAATTTTTCCAAAGATTTTTAGAGCTTTTAACTTCTTTGGAGTTTGGAAGTAGCCTTGAAGATCTCAGCTAGTGTTAAGTTCCTGACAGGGAGAAACATGCTTTTCAGATGTCTCACACAACTACACCTAACACTGACTAAATGGTGCACATGTCATTATGTGTGTGTTCCCTAAAAAAGTACAGAAGCACACAAGTACCAAAAAAACGTGAATTTCCCCCAAAGATCTGGCTTGTAATCCCTGCTGCAGCATATGGCAATTATAAACATACAATTGCTGTGACAATCAAGAGTACAAGAAATCAAAGGTTGATGCTCCAATGCAATGGTAGTCAAACCCTGCATCTCCAGACCTCACACAGAATTCCAGCACCAGACCAGGCTACTCTAACTCTACACCCAGCACATCACTGTTTACAAAACCACCTCTTGCTTTCAGATAAGAGCATGAAAGACTGAAGTTATGGGCCACTGCATTACAGAAGTTACTCCTTACTGCCACCTATTATTACTTGCTATGATAAAAAACACACTAGCTAAAAATATTCCATAGGTTATTCTGGAAAAGTTAGGTTGATAATATCTACAGATAAACACTTAGAGCTCTTTCCACACATACAAATTTCACCTTGCTACTGCCCTGCAACAGCTTTTTGGGAACCTGCAGTAACTCAGCAGAAGCTTGAGCATTTATTGCTGCTGAATACTGCTGTCGTTGAGCTCTGTGTTTCTCAGAAACAGCAGCAGTGCCAGGCCGGCTACAGCAACAGTCACGGTGATTTTGCTCAGTTTTCTGTCAACAAACAGGTGAATCTGGATGCTACAGACACAACTGCCACTGAAATGTTCATTATTTTAATATATTTTAACATAACACAGTAACTTCTCAAGCACTGCGCATCAGGAGATGCTTCTTCGCACTCGGCTTGCCTCTAGAAGAAATCATCCCTCTCCTACCCATATCAGAAATATCTTGCAAGAACACGATGAAGAGTCACTTTCTACAATAAAGAGTCAATGTAAACAACATTCCTACATAACTGACTGGAATTAACACAATTGTATTTGTGATTTATATTATGAACAGCTTAACTGTACTATCCTAACTAAGCACTTGCATGATTTTGCAGAAACAGTGGCTGCCACACACCACTCCTGCATATCTGCTCCTGGCAACAAGCAACACAGAACCATACTCCATACTTAGAATAACAGGCAGTTAAAGAATTTTCAGAAAAACTCAATGTTTTAGGCTTCTATGGCAGTTTCAATTAGAAAAAATGTGAAACAAGGAAAGTACGTTTTAATTTTAATAACTCTGACAGAAGCCCGCACAGCTTTTCCTACAACGTTTATAAAACACAGGATTTAAAAACTTTTTTAAAAACCTCAATGAACAAAAAGTAATTGAATCAGGTACGAGGCTTTACTTGTTATACACAAACTGAGAGTTATTTTAATGATACCAAGAAAGAGTTCCATGGGGAAAACCCCAGTATGGGCTCCCAGCTCCCAGAGCACGTACGTGTGTACATATATACAAACATATAATTTACAGAATCACAGAATCGTTAGGGCTGGAAGGCCCTGTCCCTAACAAGGCAGGGTCACCTAGAGCAGATGACACAGGAACGTGTCCAGGTGGTTCCGGATGTCTCCAGAGAGGGAGATTCCGTGACCTGCCTGGGCAGCTGTCCCGAATGAGTGTGCTTCAGATTGCTCAAAAATTTCTCAGCTCACACTGCAGCCTGGAAGGGAGTTAAGGGGGAATGCACCTCCACGGCAGCCTGTTCTGCCGCCCTCAATGCAAAGAAGTTCTTCCTCGTGATGAGGTGAAACTTCCCGTGTTTTAGTTTATGGCCACTGACCCTCGTCCTGCCGCTGCCACTGAAAAGAGTCTGGCACCCTTCACTTTAAGACAGCACTCGCCTTTAGGGTATTTGTATGTATTGATGAGAGCCCCTTTTAGTCTTCTCTTCCATAGAGCGAACAGGCACAGCTCACGCAGCCTCTCCTCGCAACAGACACATTCCAGACCCCAAATCCTATCTGCAGCCCTCCCCTGGACCCCCTCCAGTATCTCCTTGTCTCCCTCATACTAAGGAGCCTTCTGACGCTTAGAAAGAAAGGCTTCACAGTAGCCCCGTAACTGCTCAGCCCTCACACTCGCCTCAGCAACAACCGCGGGAGTGCCACCCCCACTCCGAGGGCCGCAGCCGCAGGTGTTTGACAGACCCAGCTGCCGCGGCCGCCCCCCGGCCCAGGCAGTGCCCGCCCCGCCGCCCTCGCTCCTCTCCCGCAGGGAAGCACCAAACGCGGCTCCCGGGGGCGCGGCGGCAGCCCAAGGCCGGGGGAGGAGGATCCCGGCCGCGCTGCCAGGCCAGGCGCCGGGGCCTCGTACAAAATGGCTCTTAAGTGCTTCCGCTCTTCCCCCCCGCGCCCGAATTGAAGGATGGAGGCGCCGCAGGGGTCGGGCACCCCGGGCTGCCCGGTCCGTCCGTCCCGCTGGGGCGGAGCGCTCGCACGGTCACTCACCTCCCGCCTGCGGCGCGGAGGCCCCGCGCCCCTCGCACGCCGCTTGCCTGGGCCGCGCTCCGCCTCACATCGAGCAGGGGCGAAACGCCGCCACCTCCACGCCTGCCGCCACCAGCTACGCGGGCGCCTCCGCCGCCACCAGCTCCGCAGCCAGGACGGCCGCGCCTCCCCCCGCCCGAGCTCCCCCGCACGCCGCTCCCGCCCGCTCTTTATTTGCGGGTTCTCTGCGCTACAAAATGGCGCCCAGGGAGGAAATGAGCGCCCGCCCCGCCCCGCGACCGGCGGCTGCGCGCGCACCCGGCGTGGGGGGCGGCGGCGGCGGCTCCGCAGCGGTGCAGGGCCGCGGCCCGGGTACCTCGGCCTGCCTGCGGGGCCGCCGCTGCGGGGGATCGCCGCTCGCCCTGCGGGGAAGAAGCGGCTCCCGTGGGTTATTAGAGCGCGATTTAAACCCTGTCAGCCGAACGGGCAGCGCAGTGCTCGTGCCCGTGGGGTGCCGCGCGGCCTCCTGCCGGCGGGGGGCGCCGCTGTCCGGCGGGACGGGGCGAGCGGCGCCCGTCTCCCGCCAAAGCGGCTGAGGGGAGCGGGAGCCGGCGCCTCCTGGGGGAGCGCTGGGCGCCTTCCCGGGAGGCTGCTGGAGAAGATGGGAGCTCTCGGAAGGAAAACTACGCGTAGCAGTAAATAAAGCGCAAATGAGTGCCGGGCTGCTCGGCGTGGCTGGCGGGGCTGCCTACCCGCCGGCAGTGCGAGTCAGTGTCCTCGCCACTGATGAAAGATACAGGACTTAAATTCCAGCTGCTTCCAAAGAAGTGAAACATCGGTTCCCGCGTTGGGGAATAAAACCGATAAAGTGAAGTTTGCCCTTCGTTGAGGTCTAGCAGTGAGCTGGTGCTTTAAAATAAACTTTATCCTTCTTACTGTCCGTGATTTCGCTGGCTGTGCTGTTGGGTAAATTCTTCTGCCTTTTGTCGGCAAAGTCGAACAGCTGCTGCAGGCTAATTTAGTCTGTCACCTGGGTTGCACAGATGAAACTGATTGTCACTCACTATGTCAGTGCTGAAGGTGCTCCAGAAATCTCTCCTGACTCTTCATGCTAGCAGAAACAATATAATCACTGCAGAATAGAACCCAATGCACGTGGTCCCACATCCACATGTATGTGTATATATGAATACACAGAATTTTCAGTGAGAACTTAAAACGTTTAAAAACCGCACTGCAAATGATTTGATGTGGGTAGGGTGGTAAGGTGACCACAAGGAGAAAGGACCTGAATAGATGTCTTTGAAATCTTACCTCATTTAAAAGTGAAAAAAGATGCACTTTGATTACTGTATGGTTACCTGTTCCTGCTGTTCTTGCAGATATTTGTTTTAAGCATTCAAGATACCAATTAACAGATGAAGCTATCCCAGGATATGGCAGCATGAGAGATGAACGTTAGAGTAGGCCTTAACAAAAACATTAATGTAGCAAATTGACTTGATTTCCTTGAGCAAATGTAACCATTACAATACTAAAAATGCATATAAACCAAGCAGGAAAAGAAATTGAAATTTTTCTCACATAAAATAGGTGCAGACGTAGGCTCAGGGTTTCTTTTATTCTGTGTATAACATACCTAACGTATTCTGTGTATCAGTGGTGATTTAAACTCAAGATCTCCCACTACTTTGTCTAGAGTTTGGCTACTTTTTGTTATGTTCAGAAACCAAAACTCCTTTGTGTCTTCTCAGTAATACAGATAAAGGGTCGAGCTCAGATACCCTCTAAGGTGTGGGATGGTAAACCTTCCACAATTGTTTGTGTTCATGAGCATGTAGAAAGTATTCCTGCGTTTTTTACCCCTTGTCAGCACCTAGTTATTTTAAATTTATCTTTACAAGTGTAGATTACATTTGTGGGAAATGTGCTAGCTAAACAAGAGGCAGGCAGCCAGGGTCATGTAGAGATAAGTGGAATCAGCCTCCAGAGCTTAATATTCTGGGCTGCTTTCCTTCTGTACTTTCAAGTTGGTAAGTGTATTATCAAGCTACACCTACAATTTTTGTTTAGGGAAATAAGGGCAACAATTTGGTAACCTGTCCTCTGATGCTTTTGAGAAGAGGACATTTAACTGAAATACTCATTTGTTCTGTTTGCACATCTCTTACACAGGGAGAACTTACTGGGACTTTTTAGTGCTGCTGGAACAAACGTGTCAACACCTGCCTTGGGTGGTGTTTACAGTGTGGTAACTGGAGTAAGTTAGCTTTTCAGGTAATAGATGCTGTCATAACCCCCAGCAGCAGCATTGGTATTTTTATGAGAGGGCATGTCCTGATCTGTTCAAGCATCAACACAAAAGCCAAATCCATGTATTGATTCACCTGTAATGATAAAATGGAATAGGAAGCAGATTATGAGTGAGTGGGCAGCAGAGCTCACTGGGTTTTAGGTTCCTTGAATGATGGTGTGTTACTCAATTAACTCAATTACCCATTAACTGGATGGCTCCTCCTTGGTTTTACTGGCTCAGTTCTGGGTTTCTGTTCCACCCCTTGGTTTCACACGGAAGCCATGTGGACCAACACAATACTACAATGTTTCCCAGCTCTGAGGGATGCTATTTGTCCCCAGGGAAGGCAGGCTCTGAGGGAAAACACTTCCTAGTGTAAAACACTCATAAAAAAAAATTAGTCTACAGGTCAGGGAAGTGAGGAATTAGGGGGGAAATGACATAAAGCCTTTTTCAAAAGTTAAAAAAAAAAAGTTGGGAGTACTGTACATACTCTTGGCGTTTTAAAGGACCTTGAAATATCAGGAACAGAAGAAAGGCCAGCGGGCTGTAGCAAAGGCTGCCCTTGACTTGCAAGGACAGGAGATGGAGCAAGGCAAACTCCTGGTACCTCTGCAGCAGAGAATGAGCTCTCAGGAGCACTCTCAGGAAAAGGCTGCTGCAGCCTACAGGTGTGGGAGAAAGATAAAATCTGTGGATTGCACTGAGAGGAAAGGGATACAGAGAGTTCTTCAGGTAACTACTAGGTAAAGATCTAGGCTGCAGAAACCCCAAATTTGACATCAGAGAACTCTCTCTTTTAGAGAAGTTTCCTGAATGCGAGGCTGCAGGCTTAATGCTGTCTTTATATCCCCTGCTAAACTTGCTTTTATGGGTCTTAGTGGAACTATCACCTATTTTGCTTACATCTTTATAGCAAGAAGTAAATAAACTTCTTCAGAAAGCTCTTGCAATAATTACTTTTTATTTAACAGCAATATATATATATATATATATATATAGAGTGAGTGAACTCCAGAGCCTCTTCTGAAGACGTCCCCTGACTGATAATCCATCCAGATACAATTACAACCAAATTATGACTCAAGTTTAATTAATTTTTTGAGATGCTTGATGAATACTGCCAGCTTGCATTTGGAGTACAGGTGTGCATATAGTTGCTAAGGATATAAGCCCAGGTGTTTACTATACTTTTTTTTTTTTTTTAAACCATAGAAAGGCCAAGATAGTTTTAGTAGTGCAAATGTTTTCCTGACTGAGGGGAAGACTACATTTTTTAATGAAGCACCAATTAGATTACTAACATTCCCTTACAAAAATGGATTCAAGGAAAACAGATTGGTCTTAACACAGCCAAGGACATTTCGTTCCCTTGATTTCCAAGGACCCTGTCAGTCAGGTGGGAGATTGAGAAATTTTAGAAAATGTAGCTCTTTACTTTACTGGGAAAACAGTGTATCTGTCTGTTTTTAAAACAGGCCTTCTGTGCTGAACCTACTCATAAACAACTGAATGTCAGTCCACTTCTAAGAAGACCTGGAAAAAGAATTAATTGTCTTTATATCAGTGAAGAAAGGTCTTAAAGTACTAAAGGCATCCAGGAAGCCCGAGTTCCTATAGCAGATATTAGTACCAATATTTGTGTATGAGACTTTATAGACTAGAGAATTTGCTGTTACAGGAAAGTTGTGAAATCTATTTTAAAAAATAGAATTATCTCATATTGAGATTTATTAAAGTAATTGGATTTTGTTTGGGGTTTTTTCCCTTTAAGAGGTGCAGTTTAGTTTTTATTAAAATCACATTCCCAACAAACCTGTTTTTGTGAATATTCATTGAACAAGTGTCAGATTTAAGGAAAAAATGCAAGGGCTTCGCATTTTGGTAACAATACTGATCTTTTAAAAGGTCAGATTTAGAAAAAAGTCATTTAGCAGGGCAGTAAATCAGTGAACATTGAAATCTTCTAACTTTTTGTCTATTTCTAATAAAACGGAGCCACCACTAGCAAATGAAAATGCAAAAATCTTTGCACCTTGAGTATTTAACCAAAGGCACTTGTCCATTTGATTGTGTTCATAGCAAAGTAGTAAATAAACTTTGTGCAACTGATACAGGTAAGTTTTCTGTTCTGAATTGATTACTTCATTTCCCAGAGTTTAGATTTCTGAGAAATGACAAAATGTACCAGCATAGGGCAGTAGTTTATTATTGAGTATTATGCTGCTCATTAACTACATTGAATTTAAAAGCACAGCTGCCTACTCCCATTCAGAAGTGCTTTTTCTGCATTTAAATAACTTAACTTTGATCTGTACCATGCATGTTTCATAATTATTTGCCTTTGTGTGATTGCTACATTATTTCGCTATGTTACATGCCCCTTTTGTCCATTTGGATATCAACCTTGGACACCACCCAAGCAGAGTTAAATAGAATACTGCAAACCTGACAGACATACCAGGATAAAATTCATCTCTGTTGTTTTGGGGTGCTCCAGTCTCACAGCCTGGTTTGTCATTAATGCTGAGCTGCAAAACTCTTCTGTTGTTTGGGGCTGAGAGCAAAGGTGCAGCAGGTCAGCTCGCTGGGGTGTGCTGGCCTCAAGGCCCTAAGGCTGCTTCATATTTGAACTTTTTCTGTCTGCTAGTGAACTGTGGAGAGGGAAGGGGCTGAAGCCTCACTTTATGTTCCATTCAATATTTGTAAAGTTTTAAATTCAACAGAATTTAACAGGGTTACTTCATGTGTAGTGTCAGTTGTGGACTGTGAACACCTGCTGACATTTAATCTGACCTCATCTCACATTATTGACTTTGTATTTCCCTCAATGGCCTTAAGTTGTAATCAGTCAAATGTTGCACTAAGAATGACATTTTGGTATATGGTACAGTTGATAAACGACGTTACTTGGTGCTGCCCTCATATGTCTCTGTTACTCACTCTCTACTGAATTTTGAAAATGTGCAG